CAGCAACTCGTCCTCGATCATTCATGTTTCCTGTACTAGTGGGTTTAATTTCCTAACATTTTTAAAGTATACCATTTTGTGTATTTTTTTGTGCTCTTTCCGATGGAGAAGTTAGTTTTTTCAAATATATTTTTTTGTTAGATGTTTTCGGAAAACCCAGAGAAAATCATATGGGAAAAAATTAAAAAAAAACTACTCCTTCCAGTTTTCTGCGAATTCCCGAAAAATTATGGCAGATTTCGCCGCGGGACTTATTCTATTTGAGAGCAAACATAAAAATACGCAACTTCTCTTATGGGCACATATGTCTAACATTTATCATTTCGCCACAAATTCATCGCAAATTTCATGTCCATGGTTCCGATCAAAGAAACGAAAACACAACTTTTTGGTAAAAGCACTTCTGGCGGCGAGAAATTCGCTATTAAAACTACCTGTGCAATGAATTTCCGAACTATTTTTACCTCCTCTTTCGATTGGTGCATTTATTTTTACTATTGGAATGATATTTGCCCAGATAATTAGTATTTTTACCATGAAAAATTCCGGAAAACCCGGTTTTTCCTAATTTAAATTGGACTAGTAATGACTAGATAGGAAAGTTATGTGTTGGACACATCAGATTTTTAATTATATACCGTGAGCACCATAAGTCTTACCCCCCCTATCTAACTCGTTTCTGGAGTCTTGTTAGGAAAATCGCCGAGACACGTCGATTTTTGATTTTTACAGTGTACATTTTTGTATGAATAGTTTACCCTTAATTTCATCCCTTACTGGAAGAGAGCAACCCTTTCGAAAAATTTAAATGGCATGGGGTGGTGAGTGATAGCTCATTTGAAAGAGGGTTTTATTCTCTATTCAACCATATAAAAAATTTTAAAATTTGCTTCATTAATTCTCGACTAATTTTTGTTTCAGAATAACGGAAATTAACGTAGCGCACTCATCTTTAGAATTAAAATTCGGCCCTGCATGATTTCGGTTTTGGTTCAGACGTGAAGTAAGACTTTTTGCCATTAGAAGGTCACTATTAGTTTAGTTGCTTTCCTATTTTGTGAGGTTTTGTTATTTTTAAACATTAATAAATCAACACGTAATGAAGCAAATTTAATTTTCTTTCGCACGGTTGAATAGAGAATAAAACCTTTCAAATGAGCTATCACTCACCACCCCATGCCATTTAAATTTTTCGAAAGGGTTGTTCCCCTCCAGTAAGGTATGAAATTAAGGGTAAACTAATTATACAAAAATGTACATTGTAAAAAACAAAAATCGACCTGTCTCGGCGATTTTCCTAACAAGACTCCAGTAACGAGTTAGTTAGGGGGGGGTAAGACTTATGATGCTCACTGTATAATCTTAATAACTAAAATTGTAGCTTATAGCAAATAACAATGAACTGGAGTGGGGTAGAAAGCTTGTAAATAGGCTTGAGATGTTACTCTATGGGCGCAGCCATATTATTTTTCATCTCACTCGGGAGTATTTACAATAACCATTTTCTGTTTCACATTGTTATTGTCTGATCCACCAGATTGTCGACTCCCGAGTGAGATGAACAATAAAAATAGCTGCGCCCACAGAGTCGCACTTAGTTCTATTAATACAACATACACATTGACATTTCCACTCCAGTTCATTGGCAAACAAAAACGTTAGTTGAATTATTGTACCAATAACTTTTATATGGCGATTATCCTACTACAGTTCTTTATAGGTACAATGATCTTGTGTTAATTAAAAATTAAACATATTATTTAGATATTTTGAGCTTATTGTGATTAACGGGATTGTTACAAGTTACGGCACTGATAAACTGTTAAAAATTGTACTATTTCACGTCTCTAATAATAACATCATATTCTGACAAACTTTTTTAATTAAATAAACGATAAATCAGTTTTTTGTTGCAATCTAAATTGCGGCAACTGCACTGAAACATGTTTCAGAGCTGAGTTTTTATTAAAATTGTAATTTACGTATATATTCCCTTGACGAACACGTATATATTTTGATGTTCCCAAATTAACAAATATACGTTGTAAACATGAAAGTTTATACGATAAATGTGTCTAAGTGTGCATAAAACATCAAATTGGGTAAAAAATCTACATATATCTAGCAAGCTCGGTTCGTTCATAGAAACACATGTGCACGTACACCCCCAGTAAAATGTTGCGAATAAGTTGAAAATAAGTTTTTAACCAATAAAACAAAAGAATTTACTTTAATGGACTTTATTGCTTATAAGAAAAGTTCATTCCTATGTTTTTATTGGTTGAACACATACTTAGGTGCAATATTTTTCTAGGGATACACGTGCATTTATGCTTCTATGGACGAGCTGCTAGCCTTAGCAGTGATAAAACAAAATTAAAAGATAAAAAATTTTCATAAATATATTTAAAATATTCTATAAAACAAATTATAGTCACAATTTTTTTTTAAACCATGATCACGAAGGATTTTTTTTTGAGTTATCTACGTATAAATTCTTAATAATAGAAACGTCAATTTAGAGAAAAGTAGAGTTGGACGATGACGTGATTTTTCAATTACACTTTGAAATATTAGTCATTAAAATTTAAATAACTGAGGTTATGTTTCCTCAAATCCCTCAAAAATTACATATTCGTTAATATTTTTCTGGAAGACATTGAAGAAGTTGGTAGAAAAAAATAAGTAGAGAATGTCATTTTACCAAGAATACCCAAATTACAGTTTGCGAAATATCGCCTAAATGTATTTGACAATTACTATAATTATTCAAAAGGAAAGACTTGTATTTCGTGCAAAACTTTTTAATTAATAAATGCAAAGCGCTTTCGACTTATTTGCCATCATCACTGCTTATCTACAAAAATTGTGGATGTAAACTTACAATTTAAAAAAATATATTATAAAATCTGAATAAGACTTTTAAGTCAAAAGTTAAAATTGTATATATATGATTGTTTGGACAAATTAACAATTACAAGAAACAAACAAAGTGATAAAAAACTGGTATTGGGAATAGTGAGTGTGGGATAAGCTCTTACAAATCATATCTGATCTCCACAAGCAAGTTAGCTTGTGTGGAATTAAGGAATTATGCCACCTTCACTATTCACACAATTGAAAACAAGTTAACAAATTAGTTAAAATTTAAAGAAATTTACAAATAGAGGGTGACTGTGGAAGATATATTGAAATTTTAATCTAGAATACAATAGTTAATATAAAGAAAGTTAAACGCAGAAGGCCAAAGTAAAAAAACTGAAGGTTTTTTATTTAATATTTTATATACATTATAATTATAAAAAAGTCTACCTACTGTCCACAACGTATCCAACAAGTTCCTGGTCATCCTCATTCCCAAAATTAGATATTTCGGGATATTTACAACTTGCTAAATAATAATCTTAGTATTATTAGTATTTTCAAATTTAAATTTATCTATTCATTTTTATTCAAGTTGTTTAACCGTTTCCACATGACAGTGGTGAAAAGAGACACTTGAAGACGTTGACTTGTCAAATGTCAAGAGAAGGAGGTGCGTTCACCTCAGTGTGGAACATGTTTCTCCGAGTGTGATTCGAGTGATTGGAGGTGGTTAACGGAGATCAAAATTTGTTAGTATTGAATTTAAAGATTTTTCTTTTACTATACGGAGAATGGTCGCACTGCGCAGCTTTCTGAGTGCCTTTTAAAAGGAGATAGAAAACTCCGCCATTTTAAACCCTTATTTCGTGTTGCCTACATCTTGGCGCAATATTTTTAATAGGTGCGTTTTAATCATCCGCTTCTGCTTCGGAATTGTCGGTTTTCTTGTTTTAATCTGACAGGTTAAAACGACTAAACCGACAATTCCGGAAGCAGAAGCGGATGATTAAAACACACCTGATATTTTGCTTGCTGCTGTCAGTGTCAGTGAATATTATTTTTGAAGTCACACTTTATTGCTAAAGAATCAGTTAGCTCACTCGGACCAGTTGAAATTTCCAAAATAACATCCATTCCAGGGATACAAATTCAGGATACGCAGAAGACTGCTGTTTTATTATAGGCGATTGTCATATATTGTATTATCCGAGTTGCACAGTGTATAAACTAAAACATTGAGATTAAAAGTGCCGACGCAGAGTGAGCGATCTGATTCTTTAGCTGTAAACTGTGTCACAGAGTTCAAAATGGTCGCGCCCTATGTTGGGCGTGTCGGACCTCTCTCTTGTCTCGTAAAGTAATCAAAGTATGTGGTGAATAATATTTTTGGAGTCACAGTTTATTGTTAAAGAATCAGTTAGCTCACTCGGACCAGTTGAAAGTTCCAAAATAACATCCACTCCAGGAATACAAATTCAGGATACGCAGAAGACTGCTGTTTTATTATAGGCGGTTGTTATATATTGTATTATCCGAGTTGCGCAGTGTATAAACTGGACCATTGAGATCAAAAGTGCCGACGCAGAGTGAGCGATCTGATTCTTTAGCTATAAACTGTGGCATAGGAATCAAAATGGCCTCGCCTTATGTTGGGCGTGTCGGACCTCTCTTTTGCACCGTATAGTAATCAAAGTATGTGGTGTAGGTATTGTTACTGTTTCCCAGCGCCACTTCAGGAACAGCACTTGTAATTAGAACCCAACAGAGAATGATGGTCGAGTGGGGAATCCTACAAAGGTATCAGAATTAATTTTAAATAATTTAAATAAAATAATCCCGGTCAACGGTGGGATTCGAACCTGGGACCCTTGGATCCATAGGCAGAGACTCTACCACTGAGCCACCCACTCCCGTTGAGTCTTGTCGCGGTTTTTCCTATTTCTGTCAATAAAAGAAGCGTTAGACAAAATTTCGGACGAATCTGTCAGAAGGGCATTTAAATACAGAGGTTTAGATAGTATCACATCCAACTAAATTATTAAACTGTTATGTTTCTATATATACGATTATGCAATCGTATTGGTTTTAAAATTGCTAATTGCTTTACTTAAATATATCCTATATAGGAGTCTTACCTTCCGTTGCGTTTAATACATGAACATTCACATAGGCAGGTATGGCATTTGAAGGGTAACACGTATAGTTTCCACTATTACTCGTGTCTGCTTCATCTAATTGAAGAAGACTGGAAGACTTATCAGCAGATACCATCACACCTGGATCGTGGTTAATCATTCTTTGGTCGTGGTACCAGAAAACATAGGCTGGTGCTTCCGTAGCGTGTATTAAGATACATTTTAAACGAAGAAGAGAACCTGCTTTGATATGTAGATCTGGAGCTCCTATGATTGACGCCTACTGCCTCTAAAAAGAAAAGTATATTGTTCGCATAAATATGTTTCATTTATTTACGGTGAATTACAAAAATCAGATTGCGTTTTCACTTAGCTAATTCGATGAGATTCAGAATTGTTTAACATTGATAAGAGACTAAAAAGATATTGTATAGAAAGAGGAAAATATTCTATTGATATTAGAGATTGTACATTATGTATTATGTTTTCTATGAGTTATTGGGACAGTAAAAAAATACATTATAATGATAGAACTTTTGGGGTTTCCCCCTTAAGTGCAAAAAGATATTGTCGATAAAAGCACAAAAAACAACAGCTGTACCATTCCTACAAAAGATATCTGCAGGAATTAGACCACTAGTACTACAAATTGTTTGTCACAGAGCCAAATACCTCAAAGTTATATTTGACCAAAGGCTGACGTGGAACCAACATCCCAAAAAGCACCAAAGCTACAATAGTTCTCGTAAGCTGTGGCAATAGCTCAACTTACCTACGTTCAGCAACTTGTTTGGCTGTCATGTGTACCAAACCAACAGCAGCAATGGGGATATTAGTAAATGTTACGCCGCTGCATATCTTTATAGAATGAGAAACCAGGACCGTCTTTTACAGGTTAATGCAAGAAAAAAAAGCCAACTACATAGCGTTGACTATACAAGGATATACCAGCAAGTAAGAAAATGATAAGATTCTAGGAATGCCCACTGATATAGCCATAACCACATAAAAATTTGAAAAAAAATTTGAAAAAACAAATAATAGCCCAGGGACCCTAGAAACAGCGACCTACCATATAGGCAAAACTCGTCTAGTTTACAGACGGTTCATAAATCAAAGAGCTGGAATCTTTCGACCCAGGTAGAAAACAACAGAAACATAAGGAGAATAAGAAATAGTGTTCCATGTCGAACTAATAGCCATACAACACTGTGTAAGAGACATAATAAATTAGCAAGTATTAGACAAAACTCTTGCCATCTACTTTGATAGCCAATCAGCTCTACAAGATATTCTTTAACCAGAAAGCTAATAAAAAATTGCTTAGAAGACCAAAAATAACTAAGTAGCCAAGTCAAAACACCTTAGCCTGGGTAACAAGGCAAAGAAGGTTATCAGGGCAATTAAAAGTTCGACGAACTAGCTCGAGAAGGCTCATATAAAGTCATAACAGGCTCCAAACCCTTCTGTGGAATTTCTAAGGCATCGTACAAGGCATGCATTATAGACAACGGATGCAAAAAGAATCTAAGAACTGGTTAAACAGCAATCGAGGACTTATACGGGCCAAAGAAGCAGAAAAAGAAGAAGAAGAAGAAGAAGAAGAAGAAGAAGAAGAAGAAGAAGAAGAAGAAGAAGAAGAAGAAGAAGAAGAAGGAAGAAGAAGAAGAAGAAGAAGAAGAAGAAGAAGAAGAAGAAGAAGAAGAAGAAGAAGAAGAAGAAGAAGAAGAAGAAGAAGAAGAAGAAGAAGAAGAAGAAGAAGAAGAAGAAGAAGAAGAAGAAGAAGAAGAAGAAGAAGAAGAAGAAGAAGAAGAAGAAGAAGAAGAAGAAGAAGAAGAATGAAGAAGAAGAAGAAGAAGAAGAAGAAGAAGAAGAAGAAGAAGAAGAAGAAGAAGAAGAAGAAGAAGAAGAAGAAGAAGAAGAAGAAGAAGAAGAAGAAGAAGAAGAAGAAGAAGAAAAAGAAGAAGAAGAAGAAGAGAAAACATCAATACAACTCTTGTGCTAGTGTGAATATTAAGATTAAGTTTTATAGCACTAGCCAACGGGAAGCAAAACGGATATAACTACATACGAGAGCTACTGTCTAGACGACATAATCTAAAATAACGCCGTTTTACAATATATCTGAAAGAATTTCATTCAAATCTATCTACTATCAGTTTAAGTAAAAAGAAAGAATAAATTTAAAATATGCTAAAACTCTGGCTATATTTAGAGCTATATGAATCGTATGGTAATTTTGATAAATTAAAAATATGTTCCCATTATTCCTCATTAAAATTAATTGCAAAATACCAAATATTAATATTATTCCATAATTTATACCTCAATGCAATCGAAAACACCGGTGTAGAAACCTCTTTTCTAATACTATTTACCTTGTAAATAAAACCAGGAAAGAGATCATAGCCATTATCCATGCTAACCCTGCACTTTATGAGCCATTATTGTACGTTTCCTTGAAAAGGCAATTCGAGAATTTAAGTTTAAGCTAACAACGTCCATCAAGCGCTTTCAGCAGTTTATGTTTATTTCTGTGATGCAACCTGAATCCAGACAAGAGAATAAACTTATATGTAGTAGTTCTTTTAGTGCGATAACTTTTTAAAATAAAACACTAATATTTTAAATAATAATAATCACCTATGATTAGAAAATTAAAAAAAAACGCAACACGCAAATTGGAGAAGGGGTTGTGCGTTAGGTTAGGTTAGATTCCCTAGTATCAAATAAAGCGTGGACATTAGTAGATAATTAAATGTTAACTCTATTAAAATGTGTTGATGCTTGATTAATGGCGTTGTGAATAATTTAGAAATTAAAGTACCTTGCTTTTAATAGAAATTGGCTTTATTTTATCTCGTTAAACTTTAAGATCAATATAACAACCACACAATAAACAGTTGATTGGTAAGAAGGTTTTATATAATAAATTAAAGACAAAATAGGCCAAGTTAGAAAAATCTTTGTGTTTTAATTTTAAATTAGTTAATGTTTTGCGTGTAGGAAGCAATTGTATTCAACAAAAAAATGTATTTTTTGTGTCGAGCCTAAAAAGCTTTTCTTTGACATTGTTTTGAAATTGGTTTAAAAAGTAGCATTAATTATCGAAAGTCTGCTCGTAAAGAGAGTCTTATTTAGACTTCTATGTTACAAATTGTTGAGCGCGCAATGCATTTAAGACGAGAGTTAAATTGCATTTAATTTTAGTTCCAAATAAATTTGAAAACCATAAAAGATAAAGACCTAAGATTAGGTAAACATTTTTTTAATAAATCAAAGCAGTTGCTGACCCCAATATAATTAATATAATTTTCAGAATAATAAAAATAAAAGTTTAAATAATTATACATAAATTTAATATGATTTTTTCAATGAGTTAAGTAAATACTCTATTAATACCCAAATATAATTACGTTGAAATCAAATTTCTAATCAGTGGAATAACGAAGAAAATAAAGAACTAAAATACAAGCCGAATATTGATATACAGGACCCCTAGATTTAGAAGAATGAACTTCAGGTATGACGCATTGGACTTTGAGAAGAAAAAAATTTGATTTCCCAAACAACAAGTCACTTCACCCCCTCTAAATGTATGTGGGGGGAGGGGGAGGGGGTGAATACGACATCCGCCCTAAATGTAGATGGGGGGAGGGTGAGGGGTGAATACGACATCCGCCCTTAATGTAGGTGGAAGACAAACATTTTTTTACATAATTAAAGTAGTTTGAGATATTGGTTGTATAGATAATTAAAAATTATAAAAATTCGAAGAGTAGGGCGTCCTCTTTCCACCCATTCCTTTTTTTAATAACTTTTCTGAACTGTTAATGAGAGAACCACCACACGCAAACCCGCGTGAAAAACCTGCGAGACGCCGGCCACCTGCGTAAATTGCCCTAGGGGATCATCCGGATAATTGCTCAAAGTATACGGCCTACTTAGAAATGGTAGACAGAATGGAAGAGAGGAAGAAGCAGCAACAGCCTTGAAGATATGTGCAGGCTCCAATCCCAGAAGGGAATGCCTGGGAAAAAAAACAGCCTAGCGCTACCAGGCTAAATCAAGAGGAATTCCCCCCCCCCCCCCTACCCTCACGAAGACCATCTCAACAACACAACAAGCTACCTACGAGACAACAACAAAGCAGACCTACCACGAACAATGCAGAACAGGGAACCATGGATGACATGTTCGCCCTTAACGATGAATTTAATAAAATAAAGTCTTGTTAATATTTGAGAACTCACCCGAGCCGTTAGGGATCTTAACAACTCCCTAAGACAATTCAGAGACGAAAGAGACGTATTCAATACATACAATAACTTTGTAAGAAATCTAAACTCTTATAAATTTAGGAGTTAAATTCAATCCGATGAACTACAAAGACAAACTCAGAATTTGTTTTTATACCGTTAAGCAAACGCGGCCTTAGTAACGAACTTCATTCACAAGCATAAGTTTGACATCATCATACTTACGGAGACCAACCTAAAACAAACTGACAAAATTATAATAATAATAATAATAATAAAAACGTCTTTATTAAAATTTTTGAAAATTACAAAAATGCAATGTAAGGGCGAGATTTAGCCTACAGCTATTCTTCCATCTAACCCTTTTAGTAACAGGATCGATAAATAATATTATAAAAACAAAAAACTATAATAAAAATGAAAAATTAAAAAAAAAACAATCATTTAACTAAACTGTTAATGCAAATAAATAATAATTGAATTAATAATAAATTAAATTAAAAATTACACAATTTAATTTGATCATCGTTGTTGATGAAGCAGGATATTTTTGAGGCTTACGCTTGAAACCAGTTTATAAATGGGTATTCTTAAAATCATTGTCAAGTTCATTGTAATATTTAACAGCACAGTATGAGAAACTGCGTTCAAAAATAGCATGTGTGTGGCGGGGCATTGTTAACGTAGATTGCTCACGTACATTAATATTATGCATTTGATTTCTGTAAATTAACCTACGAGAGAGACTTTGAGTGTGTATTATTTTGTGCACCAATGATAGCAAATGATACTTATACAGATTACTGATATTTAGCCACCGAAGTTCTTTAAAGCTTTGGGAAATATGATCATATTTGCGTAAACCAAATATGTATCGACAACATGTATTCTGAATTTTTTAAAGCCTTATAGATGTTATTGAATCTAGACAAGGATAAAAAATTATATGACAATAAGAAATTTTGCTGAGGATTAGAGTTTCACATAAGTATTTTTTCAAATTCATTGAGAGCAAATCTTTATTAGCGTA